ATTACTTCCAAGAATACTGTGGCAGAAACGAGAATTGTAGCCAAGCTAAAGCAGAAATGAAAAATAGAAAATACATTTTTGAAATTTTTATGCAGCAACCAACCGTATGGAAAAAGCTCTCCACAGGTAAAATGATACTACCAAATAAGGTTCGCAACTTTCTTGGCAACTCATCATCTGATACAGAATACTCAGCAAATTCTCTATGTAGAATTATCCAATCTGAACCACCGTCGATGCGAAGATTTCGCGGAAATTCATCTCTGAAGTAATTGCCATTTTTGGTTTTTCGTACCACTTGTAATGGACCAACCTTTTTCCTATTCTCCACATTCGATTCTCGCACTCGACAAACACGAAATCAAAACCTTGCTTTTGCAAAAACCTTCCTGTGTTGTACCCATGGCTGCTCATAAAAGATTTTCCAGGGTTACTGTAAATTGCCATATAAGCAACTGTCAAGCATCATACGTAGGGATAAACTCACAGCCTAAGTTGTGTCTCAAGCTCATTGAGCGTTAGAACCGGAAAGTCGCTTTCGGACAAGTTGATAAGATAATCCCAGTCAGATAGATTTGGCATGGATATCGATCGCCGAATGGCATCTGCGTGAATAAAGAATATTCGCGAATCTGGTAGACATAAATTAAAAAATGTCTAACACATAGTGAGAAGAAGGAAACGAAGAAATTCTTCGAGAAAGATTGTGAAGGCTCCTCCCAGCGTGCTATCCACTTGTTACTTCATTTTTAATACAATAAGTCTATCACAGACTGCCAGTGGCGTACCTAGGATTTCCGATAGGGAGGGGAAGGAGGCAACGAAAGATATTTTTGGAGGCGCATGGCGTTAGCCATGCACTCCAAAAATTTTTTTGGGACGCTTTTCAGAATTTTTGTGGACCTATGACCCCGTATCTTAAAGTGTGGCGGGCAGCAACCATGCCCTCAAAAAATTTTTTTTACAAAGCTAAGTTGAATTTTTAAAATTTTTGAAACTACTTCAGTAATTCACAAGTGAACAATCGCTTACGAAATTTACCAACTCATGTAGATAAGTGTTTTTCAAGCATTTCGCGACCCATTCTCGGAGAGGGTGGCGGAAGGCAAATTCTTCATTCCAAGGAAGTGCTTTACACAGGAAATTTATCAGTTAGTGGCAAAAAACCCTTCATATCACATCAAGATTTTGGCTCACTACCCTTGTCCTTAGTATTCAAAATCAACTTTGTCCTATAGATTTACAGAAAGAAATTTAGAGAAGTTTTGAGCTCAATCTTACCTTGGACCATAGTCAGTAGAGATGCGCCACCCCAGATGGTGCTATGGGCATCTGGTGCAACAATGACGTTGGACAATTTTGCCGCTACCGCTTTCACCTCTGAAAATAGTCAAAATCTATTCTCGTTGAGGGTGATCTTCAGCCTTACCTGTCAGCATGTACAACTGTCGCTGGTCAACATGGATATAATAGTAATGGTAAGGCGAGTACAGCACTTTTAGCAACCGTTTCACCTACAAACATTCAGGATTACCTTTTTCGGGAATAGTAGCGAAAAAATTAAAAAACTTGAAAATCGCACCTGGCGTTCATTTCTTCCATTCAACTGCAGAAGAAAGAGTATGCGTGGTCTTTTCGACTTTCCATCAGGCTCAGCGCCTCGCATATACTTGGCCTTTGGCATAAGATGGGGTTCTAAACGCATTGTTCTTAGTCCACATTCAAATACCAAGGGCACTGGTAGAAGGAAGAGGAAGAGGGAGGAGGTCGAATAGATCGCGAAATTTTTGGGAGTTACCTATGAGTTCAAAATTCTGCTGTTTCCTGTAAATGACTAGAATAATTTTTTAAAATTTTACA